CCCCCTCCGCCCCCGGCTCTGCCGAGTCCGGCTTTGGCAGGGCTGGCTCACAGCTGGGAGCCGGTTGGGGTCCCTGGGCGGATGGGGGGGGCGAACCCCCGGCCCCACCGGGGTCCCTTCGGCCGAGGAGATGCGCCGGGAGGATGCGGGACAGGCCGCTGGCTGCGCCGCTTCTCGCCAACACGTGTCCTGCCCACGCCGCCCCACGCCATCAGAGCTTTCGTGGCCCTGGGGAAACTTGTCATAACTTTTCTTATTCCAGTGCTTCCTCCCCGCCCGGGGCCGAATCTGCCACCCGGCTTGTGCACGGGTGGTGTGGCCGGAGGATTTCGGGAGGGTTTCATCAGGCTGGCGTGGCCGGGGCCACGAAGGACGGCACAAAGCCAAACCCGGAGGTTGCGGGACATGAGGCCATGCCACTGCCTCTCCGAGGAAGTTGCGAGGGCTGCCTTCAACTTCAGTTCCTTGTTTTATTTAAAGGGCGGCTGTGAGCGCACTCGGTTCCTTCAAGTCAGGTCGTGGGTGCCAGCTGGGTGTTGTGGGTTTCCCTTGCTCTGCAGCACCCTTTCGAAACGGTCCAGGCGGGGATGTTTTAAGGACTCTCCAGAGAGCGTAGCGGTCGATGTACTGTTTACCCAAATCCAGCCTGTTGCTGCTTAACCCCACCACATGCTCCCGGCTGCTGGAGGCCGGCTGCCCTCCCGTGTCCCCCGCCACCTCCCCCTTACCCTGCGCTAATAAGGGATCTCTCTGCCACCGGCTCTGCCGCAGCGGCAGCTCTCTCCAGACGGGGATTAAGGCCGCCCTTCGCGGGCATTACAGCCATCGGCAGCCCCCAGCTCACCCCGGCTCCCGCAGGTACGTTGGGGTTTGTCCCTGGGGCGTACACTCGCAGCTTTCCTGGCAGGCCCTGGGGACGATGCTGTCCCCAGGGAGGACAGGGCCCTGCGTCGGGGAGAGGAAGGTTCGTGTGCCGGGGAGGAGGTAGGAAAGCGGCCATGGGAGCAGCTCCCGTCCCGCTGTAGGGCTTCGCTTCAGTGCAAGTGTCGGAGAGATGGCGTTTCCGCAGGGTTTCGGTGCCTCTCCATGGAGATGTGCCGGCAAGGGGGAGCTGGGGGGGACATGGCCCCTCCAGGCAGGGGAACTGGGGGGACTTAGGGGCTTTAGAGCGATGGCGTAGTAACAGGCGCGTGTGCTTTCAGAGGACGAGGAGGGTTTGTCAGGCTCTTCTTCACTGTGATGGTTTCTCCCTTGTTTTAATGCGAAATAGTGCAAAGTAAAAAAGCAGCGTTTCCGCTTCTCTGCCTTCTTTCATGCTCATAAAACAGGACTCTGTGGGCTTAAAAGAAGAGTTTATAAACCAGGAATTCCTCCCTCCTGGAGTGCAGACGCCCCTTGCCAAGTTTCAGCCTGAGGCTGTTCTTCTGGCCTCCTTCAACCCCCCCCCCCCCAAAAGAGATGCTTTGGATGGCAGTGCTGATGTGCCGCTCCTGCTAGGGGCTGGGACAAAAAGGCGAGCTGAGGAGGGGAAGGGGAATGCGGGGAGGCTGCGAGAGACCCACGCTCCCAAAAACCAGCCCTCCCCAGCCCTCCCCTGCAGGTTGCCGGGACCGGTTGTCAGCCCCTGCTTGCTTTTAACCTCTCTTTTTAGACACTCAAGCAGAAAAAAATGTGTATTTTTATGCAGTGCATGCAGGAGCAGTACCCCCCCTGCAGAGCCCTGGGTTGCAGAGCTTTTTAGCCAAAAAAACCTGCGGTCAGAGGTTCCTGGCTGCAGGCAGGGCTGCTGTCATTGCCTGCTTGCCATCTTGGGGTGCTGGGGTGTAGATCCCTCGGGGGATGTGGGTGCTGGGCACCTCTGGGAGATTGGGTGCTTTCTGGAACTGAGTTTGGGTTTGGAGCTGGTGGTTTAGAAAAATAAAATATCCATCCCTCGCCCGGGAGGGGGGGTTAAAGCCCCCCCTGCATCCCAGCTGGGCACATTTGTGGGGGTTTAACCCCCCTCCTGGGTGAGGGATGGATATTTTATTTTGGGGCCCAGGGAGGGTTATTCCCCATCACTCAGGGGACATCGCCTTCCTGCCACAGGGATGGGGATGGGGGAGTCAGAGCCCCCCCCAACCCACCTGCTCTGCCCAGGGTTGACAAAGCAGTGAAGGCAAAGTGACAGCAGCCCTGTCGTCCCGTGTGTCGT